AAACAAACAAAAAAACAGTGTGAAGCCCACTCTTTTCAGAGCTCCCCAGGCCCTGGATATCACTCTACATGTTCCTCATGTACTGTTGCATGCTGGAGCCTTGGTGGGGTATGGGCCCCAAACCAGGCTGGAAATGACCCTTTGAGATCTCATTTCAGACCTTAACCCCTCACAAATAGGTTCCATCAGGAACACCCTTTACATTAAATTCCACCTTAAAGCAAAGGCTATGACAATGACCCTTCAGGCACTTGTAATATGTACATATGTTCCCACATCAAATTGTCCCCATGTGCTTTTAATGCATGCATTACATTAGTGGTTTACACACTGTCCCCAGGGATTCACTTAGATGCTTCAAGAGGCTTGAAAAAAAGTTAGATTCAAATATTTTGTAAAAATATATAATTTTAATTATTCATAAAAGTAAAATTAAAAAATAACCTGCCACACTTTAACACAGATGAGACCAGAAAATCATTCCTTTATGCCACCTGAGTCTCTGCCATCATTGTGCATACAATCTCTAACTGTGCAACTGTTTAAGAAAACTGTAGCTGTGCATTACTCTTTAAAGAACAATCTAGAGCAACACAGAGTGTTTTTGTCTATGAAACTGAACCAGGCAGTTCAGCACCAAAACGTACAAGGTCCAGGCCTATCTGCTCATCACATTTCCTCACCAAAGCCTAACAGTGAATTGTGTACAAGGTAGTAATGGTTTAACACATCTCCATATTGTTCAGCATTTCATTTTAGTACTTAGAATAAGCATTATATCTTCTTAGTCTTTTATATTTATAAGAATGTGAACCATACTTGGGTATTTTTGAAACAAAATTTTTCTACTGAACTTCCTTTTCAAATGTAAACTGTCTAGCAGAGTATACAGGCATTGCAAAGTGAGCTGTTTACCAAGTGTTACTACATCTGAGTAAATCAGAATTTTCTGTGCAACCAAAACGAAATGAAGATATCAAAACTGAAGATACCATATTAGGGTGGCTGATACAGCTGCAGCTGCCATTCACACTGCCCAATGTCCATTCCATGTTCATAAATAGTTAGAATTTGAGCACTTTACACTACAGCTACCTCTTGGCACAAGCCACCATCCTTTCATGAATTATTCCAGGGGCTCCTCCTCTGTCCTCCTGTTTTGTTTTGTTTTTACCTTTTGAACTCCTATGGCCTGTCCTCAATACCTAAATTATGGCATTTTCTGCCCAACACTCTCCAATGGCCTCCCATTTCATTAAAGTAAAAGTGTAATTCTGAATAATGGTGCACAAGGCCCTACATAGTCTGACACCTTGTCTCCTTGCAGACCCCATCACCTGCTACCTTCCACTCACTTGGAACAGTCCGTGAGCCTCCCCAAGAAGGTTCCTCAAGAGCTCAGGCACCTTCTCACGCAAGGTCAATGAGCACTAGACCTTGCCTCTCATTCCACCTCAAGTGCTCTCTGCTCCCTCATCTCTGAAATATCTTTAACCAAGTGTCATCTTCTCAGTGAACCTTTTCCAGGTCATCCTTACAACTACACTCCATGCTGCTGTCTCACAGGTTTTATATTTCCCTGTTTCACTTATCACCATCTGAGATAACTCTTACTCAAATTATTGATTGATTAATTGTCTCCCCAACCTAGAGTGTGAACTCCATGAGAGCAGAGAAGTTTGTCTATTTTTTTCCCTTCTATATCCCCAGAAGCCTAGAACAGTGTCAGGCACAAAGTAGGCAGGCACGCAATACATATCCATTAAATAAATACAATATTCTAACTTCAAATCCATCACAAAATGTTTATCAATAAAATACCATGTTTACTTGTTTCCTGTCATGAGGCCATTTTAAGATTTTTTTTTGATGAAAAAGTAGTTTTACTGCCAATGAAAGAAAGCTGTATAAAATTATAAGTTCCAGATACACGTTTATGTCTTCATTATAATTTGGATCTATTTATAGTACTCAGCATAATACTGCAAAAACCACTCTGATGGCACTAATCCAAAGGTCACACATCCTTTTGAAAAAGAGTCTCTCTCTACCCATTAGTCTTCACATATGTACAATAATGATGTTTGATTTAAAGGAGGATTATTTTTAAGAACCTTCTCTGGATTACATCATTAACTTGATAAAAAATAATTAAGGCCATCGAAGGCTTTCCCCAAACCATTCCAACCATCTTTTCTAATACTGTCACATTCTGGGATCATAAATTTTGTCACATGCATCTGTTCACTCAGCCCTTTTTCCTCAAACCACAGTCTCTTTTACATGCATGATTTTGTTAAATCTTCAAATCACACACACATTCATTAATTTGAATATACCCTTGTGGAAATATCCAACAAACGACTGACACCCTATTGAGCTCAGTGTATCCATGTGGCTAAAACATGGCTCATACCCCATGCAGACAACTTTCTCCTAATCATTTAGTTTACAGCTCTTTTCCCCAATGTCCATCTTCCTCCATTTCATACCACTTGGCATGGATGTGTATGATTTTAGAACAGCTTCACCTACAAGTGAGCATGAAAAGTTGAATCTTCATCAGGAACTGATCAGGTGATTTTTAGAATCCAGAAATGTCAGTTTTGTCTATGGCCATACCACTCTGAATGCACCCAATCTCATCAGAAGTGTCAGTTATGCCAATTTCAAAATCTTTTCTTCTCAATCTAATTATTTCTTTATCCTAATGATATTGCCTAGCATATTAATATGAAAATCTGCAGAGTGATAACTTGATAAAACCTTCATGTCCAGAGCTTAGAAAATTGAAAATGAAATATCTTATAACAGCCTAGTCACAACTGACTAATTTTTTGGTTGCTGTTAACTACAACAGACATTTTAGTAAGGCACAGATGCTATATCAAAATAAATATAAATTGATATTGTGGCAGTAGTAATGAGCGCACTAGACAGGGATTATGGAGCCGGGCTAGCTGCATCCAATTCTACCTTGAAATCACCAAAGAAGTGTGAAGTCCAAGTAAATTTTATACACTTTATAAAAAAGTCAGTAGGAGGTATTTTATTTCAGCCTTTGGTCCTGGTGGTTCAAAATGAACAGAATTTTCACACTTTAAAATTTAAGCACTATACCCACCTACGTATTATCTGTAACTGTGTCAAAGTAGAAGCCTAATTTTCAATAAAAATACAAAACATTCCTGCATCACAAGGTTGTGAACAGAAAAACAAGCACCTGGAGTCAATAAAACACAAAAATCCATCAGCTCTGCTGATCTGTATGAGTTTATACTGAAATAAAAACTTCTACTTGACCAGATTCTAGACAACGAACTGAAAATTACATGTCACATCTCGATCAATTCTTCTTTAATCACATTCTGTGATTAAAAGAACACAGGAACATCCTTCTTTTTCTGATTTATTTATATTGAGATCTTAACCATCACTCTGATCTCTGCAGTTTCTACTTCCTTCTTTGGCAGTAATTCTTCATTGCTAGAAATACCAGCATGCCTTCATATAAAATCAAATTCCACATATAAATCATTAGCCTGTTGCCATTCTGTTAAAAACAAACAAACAGAATCCCAGATTTTATAAGCCCTCTTTTTTTGTTAAATCCATTATTCAAAAAGATTGACACAGGATGGAAGGCACTGGCGGTCGACATTTCTAGCCGTACCCTGCGTAGCACCCGTAGACCAAAATCACAGAAAGTGTTGGCCGTCCAGATCCTATAGAGGAGTCCTCATAAGCAGATGAATACCATGTGAGACAACCACACCTTATTCTTTGTGTGCTGAAAATGGGCAAATCTTGCAAAAGCAAAGAATCTGAAGGTGTATGGGAAGGGAACAGATTTGGGCTTTGAGGAGGGCATTCTACATCTTTCTGTTTTCTAGATCAAAGTTCTCTGGAGGGTGTGGCAGGAGGAGCTCTGTGCCTGGCACTGCTGACTCCTGGCTTGACCTGAGGACCTACGTGTCAGTTACGGATGGGAGTGGTAAGAAGAACCAGGCTGGAGGGAAGGACATGGGTTGGCTGCTTTGTCTCAGCTTTGCCTCAGGGTGTTCCAGCAGGACCCAGGGTGGGCTTCAAAGGCTGGGAGCCGATTTTCAGAGTCCCCATTCCCTACCTGACAACTACATAGGGCATTCCTTCAACATGTAATCTCAGGACCTCACTACATTTTCCCACTTTATGCTGAATTCTCTCAAACCCAGGAGTCCAGGACAGGAGGAACTCAGATCATTCATGGGTGCAAGCCCTGGGCATCAACAACATCACCTCTGCTGAATGAATAGAGCAAATCAATACAACCATAATTCAGTGCCTTTCAAAACAAAGAATATGGCTTCATCTCCTTCATCTAGTTTTCAGGTACACAAGAAGTATCACATTTTACACCTGTAGGAGAGAACAGCTGGTGTCTGTGCTGCCATATCACTAGATGTTACTAACAGCCATTTGAAAACTTGGAGACATTCCCTAATTTCTAAATGCACAGTGAATCAATAAAGTTTTCCCAAGTTCTACTGCAGTTAGAAGTTTCCACCTTAACCAACTCTGTCCAAACTTTTGAAAATCTATTATAATTCCTAATGCCTCTTCGGGATGAAGATTAGCCATCTACAGCCATCCTTAGCTTTGAAATTGTTCTGTGTAGAGGCCTTCAGTGTGACCTCAGTTATTTCCATCCACCGTCTACCTTTGCCGACTGAAATCTTACCTAAATAAAGGGCAGCCACTAAAACGACCCAGAAATCACTCAAGTAAAAAGCCAAAGTTTTCCTATGAAACCTCTTCCACCAATCTCTTCCCTGCTACCAATGCATTCCGACACGCAATCAAGACAGGACTCTCCCAAAGCGGCTCTTGGGTTTCACCTGACCGACTCTCTTAGGGGATCACCTGTCCTCTTTCCAAACTGTGCCTCCTTTCCTCGGAGCCACCAGATCGCGCACCGGAATCCCCCGAGGGCGGCGCGGGCCTGAGAGCCCGGGACTTACGTTGTTCATGTACTCGCTGAGCAGGTCCTGGAGCGCCTGGCGCACGGCGTTGCACTCGGCCACGATCCGCTCGCGCCGGTCGTCGCGTGTGCACGAGGAGTCGGCCATGAGAGCCGCGCCGCTGATGATGCTTTCCAGGCGCTCCTCTAGGGACGGCCGGAACCGGGCCTCGCTGAACGTCATGGGGTCCAGGATGATCTTGTTCTGAAAGGAGGACAGTGCAAAAACAATCAGCAGAGAAGAGGCGGCTGCCTTGGCACCCTGTTTTCTAAACCAGAAATTTCTGAGGCCAGGACAAGACTCTGCATGGAGAAGAAACTGGCTACTTGGATAAATTCTCAAGTGGCCTTGACAAAGTCTCAACTTTCTGTAAGATACTTTGTCCTGAATCTAATCTTCAGGGAGAAAACACCATGCTTTGTTTCAAAACTGTGTTCTTGGCAAAGGCTATCTCAATGGAAGGGTTTTCGAACGAGATCGTGGCACTGGCTTGACATTTTTTTAAATTTGTAGCCTTTGAGGAAAGCACATTTCAGTGTAGCGCTTTGTGGGGCTATGGAAAGATTTTACAGCCCCAGACTAGACCATAATACGTAACCAACAATAGGACTGGTACACACATAGCATGCATCCCCTTCAAGAGAAGCAGAGAGTCCCATGGCAGGATGCCTTCTGAAACTTGAGTAAATAGCATCCAAAAGGTATATACAGTACAGGTTACTTCCCACTAGGAGCTAATATATTTTGTATAAAAACTAGCATTCTAGAAAAGGACTCATAATGTGTGTGCATGTATGTGTGTGTGATCTGTCACAATTAACTGACAGTATCCTGATAAAGGTGCTAACATGTTCCAAAGGAGCTTAGATAAGGAGAAAACAGAGACGTTTCCTAAAGGGAAGGTGTCACAGAGCATTTATGCTTAGTTTTGCCCCTGCTAAGCCTGAGGATCCTGGAAACATGTAGGTAGTGATGTCCAGAGGTGTACAGAAATATGCATCCAGAATTCAACAGATATATCAGCCTGTATGAGGATCTGAGAATCATCAGGGCTATGTGGACACAACGTAGTGAATGGTATACTAGCAAAGTGAACAGAACAAGAACAAGCCTAAGAAGGCCCAGTTAATCCCAATTTCCAAAGGTTTACAGAAAGGTAAGAATCAAAAGGAAGATCGAAAACATAGAGCAGAACCTGGAGAATAGTATTTCCAGCAAGTCAAGGGAGCGGAGAGACTGATGAAGTGTATGGTAACTGACTGCAGGAAATAGAGAGGCAACGCCAACTTTGCCCAATTGCTGGTTTCCATTAGGGACCCCTTTTCTGCTCCAAACAAGGAAGATCATTCCAACAACGTTAATCACAGTGGAATGACCTGCTGCACTAATGGTTCGCTCATCTTCACTGGAGGTGCACACTCAGAGGTCCAAGAACCAGCATGGTAGTGATGGAGTAAATGGTCTTCTGACCCTTGGATCCTTTGATGGTATTGCCATTCCATTGCTCTTTCCTTTGATGTTCATCATATATATATGTGTGTGTGTATGTGTGTGTGTGTGTGTGCACACACACACATATATATTTAGAAAGCATAATTTACCATATCTACAAATATAATAAGGAAACCAAATGATAGTAGGTAGTCACGCCATTGCCCACCTGCCATCTGCTGAGTACCTACTATGTGCCTACTAGAGTGCTTAGTGCTAAAAAGAGGGTGAAGAGCGTAAAAGACACTTGTGTGATTTTTTTTTTCCCAATAGGATATAAAATAGCTGCTTAATTATTACAAAATAGGTCGGAGCATGCTCTCTGGGAATAGCTTGCCATAACTCTCCAAAATATCCTAAGGTATTTGCTGAAAGCTGTGCTCAAAGTATCAGTGGCTTTATTCCTGTCTTACCCCTAGGTGCTTTGTGACTGCCTGGAGGGGTGGGATAGGGAGGGTGGGAGGGAGGGAGATGCAAGAGGGAAGAGATATGGGAACATATGTATATGTATAACTGATTCACTTTGTTATTAAAAAAAAGAAAAAAAGGATCAGTGGCTCTGATTCTCTGCTTGTTGTTAAAATGCAAATCTCCACAGCAGGGAGATCTCTTCAGCACAAAATGATGATGTCCTAAGGAATGCGTGACTTCGAAAGAAAAAAGCACCCACTAAACACAGACCACGTCTGAGGTCCACTGGAATGGTGGATTTCCTAGGAAATTACTCATTGGTCAAAGCTCTCTCTTCAGTTTAGAGGGCAAATGCGTGAGGTCCTTCCTATGAGCTATTCTGTGGCAGGTTTTGGCATAAAGACTACCTTCACATTTGCACTTTCTTAGATCTTACGAAAAGGATAATTTTTACTTAACTCGGAATAGCATTACTCAAATCCTGTCCCTTGTGCCTAAGTAACCTTCCAAACAGTATCAAAAAATCACATGGAGTCCTCAGTACAGTGGATGGCTTTGCAGGGTATATCTTACAAGTGAGATTCCCAAAGGAAAGCTGATAGGGGGCCACAGGTGCCCTGCCCCACCTGCCATCTGTACTAGAGTTCTGTCTGCAAGGACTCTTCCCAGTGGGATCCGTTTGAATTATCTCTCTCTTTCTTGCTCTCTTTCTATCTACTGCTTTTCAGATGATGCATTTATAATATATATATATATATATATATTTTACCATGTAACATGCATTAAATACTGATACTCTAATTAAAGAAATACCTGGTCAAAGTATAATTAGACTACTTTCCTTTATAAGGATTGCTGATTTTCAAAGCACTCTTTTATAGGAACCCATATTAACAAAAAACAATGAAAGGTGTTTGTTCTGCTTTGAGGTTTCAGGAGACTCTTCAAGGTTATATATCGGCTCTCAGATGGATTTTTATTATACTTTTGGACTAAAAAATATAAAGAAATGCCAATTTGATGGAAATATACTGAGTTAACTTTGAACTCAATAAGGGCAATTGTAAAACAGTTTCCCTGTAGAACAAGGAAAATGTACTATTGTCATTATAACATTATTTCTTAAATTATTTTCCACGGAACACTGAGCTTAGAGATGTAATGTTCTGATGAAAAAATAAGTTTCCTTAGTCAGATATGTTTTGGAAATGCTGCATGGCCCAGGGTACGTTAGCACATGAAATGCTTTGGGGAGTTCTGCATTAAACAAGTCCGTCTCCTGCAGCATTCCTCAAACCTATTTGAGCATAGAGGGGTCCCCTTTAAAATGCATGCATTATCTATGAGAACCTAAGGAACACGCTTTGGGAAACATGCCAAGAGAGAATTTACAGTGTCAGCCGAATGAGCTCCCCACCTGCCACAGCCCGGGGCTGTCATGAAAGTAAACACACCGCAACATAGAGCTTCAAAAACTCTGCATAAAAGTTACACTGTTCATCACATTTCTAATAGAATTATTCATTATGTATAGATCACAGGGGAAAAGCTTTTTAAAAAATCTCCCTGGAAAAGAAACAATAAATTTACAATATTCCAATCTATATCCGTGGTGGAGATGGGGAATACTGCAATGATGGATGTGAACGGCTAGCAGGAAGAAGCCACTTAGGGGAGAGAAAACGCGTAAAGGGCATTGCGCACGTGCACGTGCATCTGTGTGCATGTGTGTATATGTGTGTGTGTATGTGTGGGGGTGTGGATTGCCTGTGTGTGCTTATCTATGAGTGGATGGGTTCGGGTTGTGTGTAATGGGTGGAGGGGGGCAAATTGGCGGGAGGGGACATGGGTTGTTTGTGTGTGTGTATGTGTGTGTGTTTTCAGAGGACTGGAGAGCTCTCAAACAGGCTTTAGAAAAACAGAACAAGATAAGAAAAAAAAAAAAGAACCAAATGAAGCCAGGGGCTTAAGGACTAGAGGAAAAGACTATCTACCGTTGCTAAAGTGATAGGAAAAAACAAACTCCTGGAGGTGAATCCTGGGCAAAAATACAGAGAGTGAAAGCCAAAGTGGAGTGAAGGAGGAGTATTGCTTCTGCATATTTGGGAGCGACTTAAAAAAAGAAACAACCGGGCAGGCTCTCTTTGCTAGCACACTCCGGGGTAGGCTCAGCCTGTCCGCGACTCTCTGAGGCTGCCCTCTACTGGCCAGAAAGGGAGCAGCAGCGACAGCAGCATCCAGCTCGCTCCCTGGTCACGGAGGGAACATTTCATGGGTAACATGCAAGCACCAAACAGAGAAGGGGCAAGGTCAAGGTTTCCTATCTCTCCCTTTATGCCAAAGGTGTGCTCCTGCAAGAGGATTTTATGCTGTTTCCAATCGTACAGACTTATTTTAGTCCACTGAGATCTTACATTTTAAATATCTAAGTCTCTCGTTTGCATCCTTAAAGCTCATTTAATCTTTTTATCCTTTTGATATTTTAGTTCATCTCCTATTGTCATTTTAGTTCATTTTAAAATTGTGAGGCTACGTTTCTTACTTTATCTTTTTCTTCTTTTTTTTTAAGTAAGCCTTACTTTAATTTCTTTTTATCCTGTCTATTCTCAGTCCCTTTATTTCACTAGCATAATATTCTGTACTTTGTGATTCTTCCTTATTTTTTTATTAACATCTTTACTTTAAAAATTAATGTTTTCATTCTTACGTTTATGGAGTGGCAACTGGAAAGCATGGCTATAAAGAGAGCAGTCCCAATAATTCACCCCCAAGCAAAGGAGGCTAGGATACTCTTCTGCCATCAAGTTGGAGCTATAACAGTCTCTCTTGTCCTACATAATTGATGTCCCATTTTTTCCAATGTCGAACTCTATAAAAATTGTAACTTGAAATAATTCAGGGAACGATATAGTTCAAAACTACTTCCCAAAATAATAGATTTACCTGTAGTCACCCCACATCCAATTGTTACAAGAGCACTGCTTTTAAATCGCACCTATCATGCATTCTCTCTACAGGGAGTAATGTGTTCTAAAATTTCCGTGCTATCCTGGGACACTGAGTTATACTTGTTGCAGGCTCCGATGCCACAGCAGGCAGCAGAGAGACCTCTGTCAAAGCAAGCAGTTGAATGCATTACAAATGGTTTGATAGGTCCACAATTCTGTGCCTGTGATATTACTACCTCCATCTTATTCAAGAGGAAAATTACTCCAGAGATGTTTCCCCATGTTCGTACAGCTGGGAAATGAGGACACCTGGATTTGAACACAGGGCTTTTCACTTTAAGCCCAGCGTTCCTT